GACTATAGTTTTAAAATAGTACATAAATTACATTCTTTTACAGTATAAAAAGCTATTTCTCATTAGTTCATTAGTTTACCATGAAAAGTGCTGTGGGAAAAATTATTCTTCCTTCTACCTTTTGATGTTCAGGCAGTCAGTTAAGACTCTGTCACATATTCTGCCTGGATCTTTAATTTGCTAATTATAATGTATCATTTAACATTTTATTATCTAGGAAGAGTAAAGATAAACCTACACCATCCTCCCTCCCTCCCTCCCTCCCTGTTTTAACAGTAGGAAAAAGGAAGCAAACTTTAGAGCACTGACTATAAATTGTGTCATGAGACAGGAATCTAGTACCTGGATTGTTCTTTTTGCTCTTCCCAAGATGAAAATACAAGAAGTAATGAATTACCTCATGCTTGGTCTTTTCTTACATTTTTCAATATAAAATTCTTTCTTAACATTTCATTAAAAATTGTAGGACGTGTAGGAGAAGGTAGACTGCTTTTCCTGCTTAGGTTATTAATTCCATTGACAGCAATTATTGCACTGGAAATCCAGGAATATAGAGCTTCTGATCCTAAGTTTCTGCTTAACATGAGGCGGACATTTATATAGAGCCAATGAAAAGCCATATTGTGGGGGCTGGAGAGATGGCTCAGTGGTTAGGAGCACTGACTGCTCTTGCAGAGGACCCGGGTTCGATTCCCAGCACCTCATGGCGGCTTCGCACTTCCACGGTATTGCAAGACATGGGTGCACTCACATACACATAAAATAAAAATAATAAATAAAACATTTTTTTAAAAAAGAAAAGCCATATTGCTTTCTTTTATTGTTGAGCATGTATTTAACAAAATGTCTTAATCTCTAAAGAAGTAAAAGTGGCCATTGACTGTTCAGTGTACCATTATTTAAAAAAGTAGCTCTCTCAAACTTACACTCACTCACACCCATGTTCCTATGCCTTTTAATCTCATTACTGTTGACCTGTTGACATTAAAGCAGACACAGTCTTAGATAACTGTTGAGTTCCTGTTATAGGTCAGCAAGAAAGAATGCTTATGATCCCAGAAATTCTGACAAAGGAAAACATTGTCTGTGCTTTCGACTTTTCCTTTGAAAGTGTTTACCTCAAGAGCAGCAACCTGTTCTTATTTTTGTTCAGTGGTAGATATTCATAACTTCTTTTCCTATAAATTTCTTTTTTCTTTTTCTTTTTTTAAAATTATTTATTTCATAACCATATGATTAGAAGAGGCATTTCATTACAACAGCATTGACATATTCAATAACAATTTCCAGAGCTAAGATGCTTCTCTTTCAAAACTGGCTGGAAATTATTAGGTTTACAGTTGAATTAATACAGTTATACACTATTATACTCCATACACAAGCTCTTTCCCCTCCTTACCACTTGTCCCTTTCTAGTTTCCTGTATTCTACAGGTACTCCAAATTAATGTTTCTTTTTCTTTTTCTTTTTTCTTTTTTGGTCTTTTTGAGACAGTTTCCCTGTAGCCCCAGCTGGCCTAGAACTCGCCATGTAGACCAGGCTGGCCTTGAACTCACAGAGATCCACCTGCCTTTGCCTCCCAAGGGCTGGGATTAAAGGCGTGTGCCACCACACCCAGTTTAATGTTTCTTTTTCTTAATGTGTTTGTATAATAGTCTATTTAGGGAGAGAAAGAGTAGATTAGGGAATATCACCAAATGGGGCTGGAGAGGTGTCTCAGTAGCTAAAAGCACTGGCTTCTCTTACAGAGGACCTTGGTTCAGTTCCCAATACTCATGTGGTGGCTAGCAACTATTTATAACTCCAGTTCCATGGAATCCAATGCCATTTTCTGGCCTCCAGGGGCATTGCATGCACATGTTGCATCTACATACATGCGGGCAAAACGCTTATACACATAAAATTTTAAAAATTAAAAAATGAATATCATGAAATTAATTCAAGAACATGGTACCAAAACAAATAGGAAAGCTCAAGTAAAATTAGAAAGGAAAGTGATTTTAAAGAGGAAGAAAACACCAAGAAGAAAAATGGAAATAATATTAGTTTAATAATAGTTTATCTGTCATTCCAATATACTTTTCTTCTTTGGGGGAGGTTTGAGACAGAGTCTCCCAGTAGCTCCAGCTGATCTGGAACTTGCTATGTAAACCAGGCTAGGCTTGATCTCACAGAGATCTACCTGCACATGACATATATGTGGTACAGACTGTAAGGATAAGGATTGCCTTAAGCAAAAGGGACTTACCACATGATGTGTAGGAATCAAAGAAGCACAGGAAACTGGCTCTGCAGCCAAGGAGCACCTTGTGCTTGTGCTGCATAGACTGGAATGAATGCCCATCTTATGGAGAATTGAGACAATTTGTTTTTCCTGATTCAATAGCAGCTCCAGTGATTCTACTCTAGTCGTTTTCACACATTGCTGAACCAGATTTCCCAAACACAAAACAGATGGCATTGGGCAGTTGGTTACTATATTGTATGAAGGACTGATGTAGCAGTCTTGGCTAATGATCCATGGTCCATTCATTGGTGCCCAGGAAAATAGACTTGGTGTCACTAAATGTTTACACTTGCTTTGTTAGCCTGAAGCTTTATGCAGAAGCGCCCAAGGCTACAGTGTAAGAAGACCTGAGCTTCAGCTAAGTGCCTTCCTCAGGGATGTTTACTTGCTTGTGCAGGCCCTTGAACGCTCATAAGCTTTATTACATCACATTAGTTTTTCTTCTTTCTTAAAATCTTTCTTATGTCATCAATAATTGTTGTAACTGAAAGGCTCATCTTCTTGTCTGTATTATAAGCCTATGAAAAGCAGGAGGTACCGTATGATTCTTTATTACCACACCTGACACTCAGCACAGTACCTGCCATTCAGTGCTTATTGTGTAGAGTATTTTTGGTATGTTTCACTGAGAGAAGTCACAGTGCTAGAAATTCATTGTTTTTCATGCTCACTTAGAAATTTTTATGGGGCTGAAGAGATGGCTCAGCAGTAAAGAGCACTGGCTGTTCTTGCAGAAGACCTGGGTTCAAGTCCGTGATGACTGACAACCGTCTGTAACTCCATTCCCAGGGGATCCAACATCCTGTTCTGTCTTCATGGGCATTGCATGACACGGGTGTACTTAGATACATGCAGGTAAACACATATACACATAAAATAAAAGTAAAAATAATAAAATACTAAAGAAGAAACTTTAACAAATATTTTTACATTATTTTGCTTAAAGAAATTTGAATCTGTTTTACTGATCTAAGAAGTGACATAAGCAGCACTGAATCCAGCAGAAAGTTCAGGTAGCAGTGACTTTTCTCGTGTTTGTCAATGTCTGGCTAGGCAAAGTTATGTCAGCTTTATGTCTTGTCTCTATGAAATGCTTAATGGCTATGTCATAATGACTCAAAGTAGAACTTTGAGATACTATTTTTTTTAAGGCTTTTTTTTTTTTTGAGACAGGGTCTCCCTGAAGCCCCAGCTGGTCTGGACTACAGGCCGGCCCTTGATCTCTC